AAATTCATGAAAAAAAATTATTTGTTTATCAACATATTATTTTCAGATTATCAAATTCATTCAGACAAATTAAAATAATACTAAGAGGTATAATGGGATTTATTTTAGATTAACAGTTATAATATACACAGTGTAAAATATAGTCTCCGGACCTTTTAGGGTGTGGTTTGGTCTTCCAACCAAATCATAAATCATCTTTTAACTTATTAACATTTTTTATTTAATTTAATATTATAATTAAACGCTTCAAATAAAAAAACAATACTTATCTATTTTCAAAAACTGTATAAATGACTGAAATATTATAACAAAACTGGTTTATAATACAAAAAAGTAGTATAACTGGTATCAATACTGAATGTTTGATGTTAACTACTAAGGTGCTTTATTTGAATAACGCACATTAGATATGTCAAGAGCGCCTTAAAAATAGTATCTTTGTGAATATACATGAATGGTTACTGATCAAGGTCTCGTCCGGCATTTGCGTTGATCTTAATAAAATTACTGTATAATTTCTTCAATTTAATCTGCATATATAATAATTATATATTTTTAAAAAAAAAATTATTTTTTTATTGGTGCAATACGTTTATCGCATGTCAGTAGAATAATTACACTTAAAATGTAATCTTATTAGGGTAATATTTAAAAAATTGTTCGAAACGTTTAAAATAATATAACTACGTGAACGCCCTTGCTTTTTTTTTTCGTAACAGACTAAAAGTAGGTTGATGCGCTCATTATCATAACTAGTTTTAACAATGATATAGTTAATTTATAATTAGCAATTACAAATGTAAGGAATAAAGTCAAAAATTTGTTGAGGGAGAATAAATCACGTTTCCCATAATGTAAAAAATAAATATATTTATACATTATTTGTTTTATAAATTTTGACTAAGCTAAATACCCTAAACATTAACTATGTAAATAATAAGTTAAAACCAAAGAAAAATCCAGCAAACCTATAAAACTATTTTTTTTGTGTAGTTAACACGTTGAGGTTGTAATATCACAAATCAATGTATATATATGCAGCACGTTTGTATACAGCGGGCACATTTGGTTGAGTTTATACTTATTTCAAGGAGTAAAGTGTTGACAATATTAAAATTAGAAGAAAGACAGTCATAACTAAGAAAAAAATACAGTGTAGTTAACTAATTAAAATTAGTTAGTTTAATAGAGTCTATTATATCTTGCAAAATTATTATTACTTCAATTCTTACAAGTAATTTTATTATATATGTACATTTTTACATTTAAAAAATTTGAATTTAAGTTTACCATCATTGAAAATTTTAAATGCTATTGAACTTCTGAAAAATTGATAAAATCAACCCATAAACTTCTAAAATCTCTGAAATGTCACTGTACTATAGATAGACTTATAAAAATTCGATTAAGAAAATTATTTTGATTGAATCATTTATTGAAAAAATTATGGCAGTTAAAAAAAAAAAATATCCCTACTTTTAAATTTGTAATTTTTTGTAGGTTACCCACATTTACAGGTAACGAGAGAATTTTTTTCAATTTTTAAGCTTAATCGCTTAAAAAATGAGGCTAATTGATGGTTTACCCTTTAAGTACAAAAATATTATAGTTCTGTTTTTTTAATAAATGTCATAAGACTATACATTAATCTATGGGTAATAAAATATTTATCATAAAAATGTGCATACAATTTTGCTATTTAATGTTAAAATTGTGTTCGGCGATCAAATAATGATTGCAATTTTCAATCGATACAATTTAAATTTTTCAATAACAACAAGTCTATTAAATAAGTGATTATCGAAACAACATTTCTTCAAATCACAAGAATAGCTTTTTTTATTAGTGTTAGACATTTCGGATATACTTATAAATAAAAATAAATGACTAGTAAATTGTTATCAGTTAAGAAATCTGAGTCAATTCAAATCATGTTTTTATGACTTAATTCCTATCAAATGACGATAATTGAATAAATATTTTGTGTTATTTTAAAGTATTTCCGGTTAATCAATATTTAGGTGAATAAACGACCAGTGTTTGTTCTGAGAAATGGAGTATTGTTTATCATTAGAGATTACAAAAGATTTTTATTTAATACGTTCTCAATTTAGGATAATAATACCAGTTTTTAACAATCGAGTTTAATATTAAATAAATAATTGATTTAAGTTTTAAATATTTTGATATTTGAATCGTTTAAGTCAATTGAAGCTTAATAAGGGAACAAAAGCTTACTTTTTAGAACCTTAAAATATTTTTAATATAATTAGAATACAAGTTATACTTATGAGATATAAGAATAGGATTAAGAACCTGCATTACATTTGATTTGACAAAATCTCTATGATTTTTTATATTTGGAGCATTTAATGGTATTTTACAATGTTTTTATGTCCAACTATCAAAGTGTTAAGTTTATGCCTAAACTCCAGTATCGTATTGAGGGATAGTATATAATTGATGACCTTTTAAAATTTTTTGTTAAGCAAAAAAAAAAAATTTTTTTAGATTAAATCCTTTCATTAAAAAATTAGAATATGTATAAGCATAAGTACATAAACTATACATATTATTACATACATTATTTCAAGAGATTTATTGTGTTCGTCAGCTATGAATGCCCTAAAAGATTCAGAGTTACTCTTTTTATAACATCCTGAGGCAGCTGTCTCAGGTAGCACTTTTTATATTAACACGCTATTGCTAATTGCTATTTATTGTTTTTATGTTGGGGCTCTTGTAAATTTATGAATTTTTTAATTTGTGAACCTTTGTTTGTAAGCGTAAAATAAAAATAAAATTTATAATATCATATTTTAAAGTCTTATTTTACATATATTCTATGTTATATTATAACATTTTTTTGTACACAGGACTGGAAAATAGTTGGTTCAGGTCAAAAAAGTTACTTAAATTACTAAATTTTTAAAAAATGTGATAAAAATATTTTAATAATAAAGTTGGAAATGAGGAATACATTAGTTATAAATAATTGTCTATTTAAGTATTTTACATGGTATAAATAACATGTATTTTTATTAGTTGCTGTTTGTATATATTCTCATCGTTGTAATTTGGTACTGTTTGTTGAATATGCTTTAATTATAAATTTCTAATAATTAAATAAATTGTTAAATAATAACACATTCTAATTTTAAAAAAATAATACCATACCGTGTAAAACCCATTTAATATACAGTGCAGTTTTCTAATAATAATAACAAATTTATTTAAAATTGACTAAGAATTATAATAAACTAACAAACTCAAATCATTTCAAATAAAAAACAGTTTCTGATAAAATAAAATGATACTATTCAATATTAAATGTCTATTATCATTTAAAGTTTTGCTTTAAAATATAATTAGATATTAGACATTAGATAGAGAAATATAATTGAAAATAAATTTTGGTGCCAAATATAATTTTGCTGATTCTATATGTCACTAATTCCGAATTTACTTTTAAATTTTCCGTATCAAATCTTTTTTATGAGATAATAACTAATTTCTAATAATCAGAATATGTGGATTAAAATTGAAAGAATTTTTTTTTTTTGTTGAATTAATTTAATTGTTAGTACCTTACTAAATATCTGTGCAAAAATGTAAATTGACACATCAAGCCTTTAATGTTTAAGTTTTTATATACTTTCCAAAAATAAGTTGAAATATTTAAAATAATATTTTATAGGTTTACCCCATGATTATAAATGTATAAAAAATATTGTAAGGTTTTCAAAAATATTAATTCTATATAAATTTTACGCAATAAATGAAAAATATGGCTTTTTTAAGTACAAAATAACAAATAGTTTTAAGTTATTTAAATACAATTGAATTTGTTTAATGGATACTGAAAAATTTTTAGGAATTTGGTCTCAATATGAGTATATTAAAATTTACATAGTAATTTAAATGTTGAAGAGAAAAAATTGACAGTTTTAATTAGAATCTAAAGGTAATAAAAGATCAAACTACTAAGACAGATATTTATATCTTACGGCTATTACAATTTTAAATAAAATTATTGCTCAAAATTCAATAAAAGCTCTCAAAAAAATTACTTCTTTTTCCAAAGCTCTTTAATTGATATTTTTAAAACATTTGAAGTAATTTTAATTTATAAATTAAATTATTACAAATATACGTATAAATACATAAAATATATCGTTATTAGAATATACACGAGCCTAATTATATTTCGTACTGTTAATAGCAATCATTTTGATTTTAGTAGGCAAAATTGATATGAAATTTTTGTTTGAACCTTATAGCATTTTCTAGAAGTGGGGGTTTTTTTGTACTGTTAAGAAATATTAAATATAATAATTTAGCTTTAATTTTTTTCTTTATTTAAAATTCAGTTTTTAAACTTCATAAGAACGGGCCTGCTCGTAAATATAATAGGTTTGAAATGTAACGATTCATTGTAGCGATTGGTTGTTTTTAATTTAATTTAATTAATTTTCAGGACGTTAAATTATACAAGAATTATGTGAATAAATTAATGTAAATTATTGAACATCTTTAACAGACGAACGAAACTAATGGATAAATAATATCATATATCTGCTAAAAAGTTTTATTACAATTATCGAATGGCCAATAACGATATAAGTCATTTGTAATTTGAAAGTAATTGGATCTATACTGCGCAGTAATTCCATGGGCGAGTTCATACGTTTCCGCAAACAACACGCCGTCGCCGCACCGCCCGGACCAAAGATAGGCACCACCCCAAAAAACAAAATAAAAAACCTAAGGCGGACTGGAGCGTACCATTACACGTCGGTTACGGTGTCATTCGAGCGACTCGTCATAGTATGTTAACAATGACGGGGGGGGGGGGT